ATTTTTTGTTCAAAACCAGGCTACAAACAGCAGGTAGAAAGCTATAAAACAATTGTACAGCAGTTTGCCTTTTCAACAGGGATTTTTCATCCACAGACACATACACACATGAGTTATGTAAAAAAACAACAGCCTTGAATCCCACCTGTTACTGGTGTTAGAATATGTGCAGATGAAACAAATCAAATCCTGACCTGCTCAGCAGCACAAGTCTTTCTGCTTTTCCAGGAAAGGAAGCTTTCAGGAAGGTTCCTGGTGTTGGCTAAAACAGCAACCTAATATTTAAATGCTATTATCTGTAAAATTTCCAGGTTGATAACTGGCTGATGTCATCACAGAGTTCTTGCAAATGGACAGGAGTGCAGCTCTTCTGAATATTAGACACTTTTTGATCGCACAGTTATTTACTTAATGTTTGTGAACGTTTAAAAATGGAGTGCAAATTTTAATAGATATTGAACTCTAGATTAAGTGCATGTGCTGAAGAAATACAATGGATGAACTTTCTTTTCCTGAAATTTCTATTTGTTTACTGAAGATTTAGGGGTTTGCTGCTTTTGGGTTTTGTTTTATCAAGTTCTCTTATGAGTTTTAATCATAAAGGCTGGGTAAGATTTTGAGACCTGATTCACAGATTTGCCTGTCATTGTCGATTGTTAACATGGAGGATTGTGCTCACTTACCTACTATGTTTTTTCTCTTTACCTTAATCTGAAAAACTACCAACATTCCAATAACGTTGTCTGTCCATAAGTACACACATGGACCTTCTGTAATTTTAATTTTAATTTTTAAAAATAAAATTTTTATTTTTATTTTTTTTATTTAATATTTAATAAAATAAAACATTTTTATTGAGGAACTGAGATGTTTTGTCAGGTGGAGTTTGAAGCAACCCAGTCACAGATGACCAGAGAGTATACAGGTATTCAATTTAAAATTCATGACCAGAAACGAGCTTTTGAATGGAAAGAGATTAGGATGGAGGCAACTGCAAAAGTGTCTGGAAACTTGTACTGGAATAGGGCTTGGAGGACAACACAAACTCAGTGCTATAGCACACAGGTAACAGGTGGGTGGCTTTTCAGTTATGGTGGAGAGGAGGCTTGCTATGCAGGAAGTAATTCCATTACAATTTGGACAGTTTCAGTTGCTGTGAGAAAAAATAAAAATAAAAATAAAAAATGAAGAAATATTTGATTGTATAACAAGAAAAGGCTATCCTTTAAAAGGGTTATATAGATAGATAAAGAAAATCAGAAGTACAGACATAGATACATCCATTTACTCCCAGGAAAGAGGCTTGAAGACACTTCTGGTGTTACCTTGCATGATGGCTCTTAATTATGGTTAATTGCTCTAATCTAAGTAAGGAGTTCATATTACAAAACCACTTCCAGTAAGCCAAGCTGCTAACTTTCCTTTAATTTCATTTCTTACATAAGTGCCAATGATGGGAAGAGTAGAATTCCCTCTTCAACCTGTGCCCTTCTGCAGCATGGTGTATGTTCAGAGCAACATTTTTACTACTAGAAAGTATCTTCCATTCTAATCTGTACTTTAGGAGAAATCCTAACTCAGGTTTCATGGGAAATCATAGGCAAAGATGGGCTTATTATGGGCATGGACGAGTAATTTACAAGGAGTCAAAAACATTATTAAGGATGTTCTTGAGAAGTTATTAATATTTCTAGGAAATCCATATCTGGGGCCAAACCATGAGATTTGAAAACATTTCTATCCACCTCTGTGGTATGGGCTGATGGCAAGTTTTATGTCTATTTTAGTACCAGACATATTTCAACATTTCATGGAATCAACAAATCCCATAAACATGGTGTTTAGTGTAAGCATTGATTTGAAGAGCACTGGGAGAGAAATATACTTGTATACTAGGGCACCTGAATAACATCAGGAAGGAAGCTTCAAAGGAAGCACAAAATGGTAAAGAAGTTGACGTTTCTTTTCTTCTGAACAGATTCCAAATTTATCACTGCAGAACTTGGTGTTCCCTTCCAGGTAAGTGCTGCTTCCACCAGTACAAAAACCTGTCAAACAAAAGGTATGGCTTAGAAGACCACAGATGTGGTCTCAGTCATAGCTGTGACAGATTTGGGTGCACATTTTAAGTCTTCTGATTTGGAGAAAAGTGTTAGATGAGCACAAAAAGATGAAGTTCAGGTCATGCTGACATTAAATACCTGAATAAGGCAGAAAAATCCTTATTACCAAAGTTAGAAAAAAGACACTAAATCAAGAAAAAAAAAAAGGGCAGTCAAATAATATAAATCTGAGTTATGAAGACCAGAAAAGTGATATACTCCCCACCCTCCCCAACTTAGAATCCAATTTGACAAAAGATAATTCATCAAACTAAATTATTTAAAATATCCAAAAACATCACTGGAGAGGATAATATGTGATGGGATTAAGATGGAAAAACAGTCACCACCCATCATTTGAGCTTCTTCTTTGTGTCCTAGATGATCAGTAAAGGATTATGTTACATTACCTGTAGAGAACTAAATAAGTCATTGGACAGCTGATAAGTCTGACAAGTTGGGAAAAATCTGATAATTTGCTGTCTGAATAGTTGTAAATCCAAACTAAGCTCAATACCAATAGAAAGAGGCTGCAATTTTAACTGGCTTAGATCCCTGCACCTGTGTTTCTATGCTTGAGTCACCACAACGCTGTTTCTTCTTAAATGTGTGTATCTTTGGCAGCTCTCATCAAAAGTTTTGCTAACGAAGATGTTTATGAAGAAGTTAATGGAAAGGAAAAATGATTCACTATAAAGATTTGTATAGGGATCATTTACTCCCATTATTGCAATAAACAAAGGCATTGTCATGATACCAAACCAAAATGTTTACTATTGCTAAAAATCTCCAAGCTCTATATCAATTATTTTAGCTTGGACGCATCACTATTAAAAACAATTTTTCCACTGTACAGGTTATTTCATAGGGCCATGGAAAAAGAAAGCATTTTTCAGCACAAGATTATAAAAGCAGTTTCTTCTGCAGCTTTCCTGTCATCAAAGTTTCTTTTTTTTTTTTAAGTTGGGACTTTATATTTCCTATCTATTTGAAATCTTATATTTCTTTCACTTTCAGTCAATGTCTACTGCTGTAGCTAACAAAAGTAAGAATTCATTCAAAATCATGAGTTTAGTGGATTAGGAAATATAGTTGTTGAATCTTGGAATATATTAGAGAACCACACAGAAACACAGAATATGCTGAGGTGGAAGGGATTCATAAGGATTATCAAAGTCCAAATCCTGGCTCTGTGCAGGACACCCCAGGCATCACACCATGTCCCTGAGAGTGCTGTCCAAAAGCTTCTCAACTCTGTCAGTATTGCTGCTGTGACCACATCCCTGGGGAGCCTGTTCCAGGCTGTTTCAACCTCTGGGTGAAAAACTTTTTCTTGATATCCAGTCTAAATCTTCCCTGACTCGATTTCAGCCCATTCCCTGGGGTCCTGTCCCTGGTCAGCACAGAGCAGAGATCAGTGCCTGCCCCTCCTCTTCCCCTCACGAGGAAGCTGTGACTGCAGTGAGGTCTCCCCTCAGTCTCTTCTCCAGGCTGAACAAAAAAAATTTACCTCGGCCACTCCTCATTCAGCTTCCCCTCAAGGCCCTTCATTATCTTTTTCGCCCCCCTTTGGATTCTCTCTAGTAGTTTAATGTCTTTCTTATATTGTGGTGAACAAAACTACTTTGTTATTGTTAATTACCTTCCATGATTTTTTCAAATCCAGATCTACTATTGGGTGAGGTTTGTGGATGAATATTTGGGAAAAAAATAACAAAATCCAAGTGCAAATAACACCTTCCTTCTGCGTTCTCAGCCTCTAGGATTGGATTATGAGAATGCTGGAAGTTACATTGAATCTTTTTCTGAAAATTACCATCTATGCTCAGATGATCATTACAGTTATGGAATTGCTATAGTACCTTCAGTTTAAAACCAATTACAGACAGACAGACTTGGTATCACTATAGCAGTTTTCACACAGCCCTTGGTGTCAGTTTTACAGTAAAAAATTTTAGCAGACCTCACTACTGGCATAAAATCTCTCCTTCAAATTGATAAATACTCAGCAAGGTAGAAGTTGTGATCAATTTCCCGCAAGCAGAAAAGGCAAGGAGAAAAGTATATGAGAAAATATCCAACCTGGATCCAAAAAACCAACAGGGAACAAAAGGTTTATCAGTTCCCTGTACACTTCTCAGTGTGCTTTAACTTGCACCATGAAGTAGTCTAAGAGTGTGCCATCTCCATGGTGCATTTTTTTCTTTAGTAAATGGGGGGAAACTAGAGGGGTACACACTCTAACTGGCTGTGGGTGTTCAGCTTGTGAGGCTAGCCTGGAGCTAGTCCAAAATCCACAAGTGCAGCACCAGATCTACAGACCTTCTCCTCTTGCCTTATCCTTCCTGCCAAAAAGAAGGATATTGTCAAAAAGACACCTGTATAGTGGCACTCCCTGCTTGTGAGCATTTCCACCCCCCCAGTTGACCTGATACTGGCAGTGTCACCAGTTAATTTCTCACCCCATTCTGAGTAAAAATCACAACTTTGCACAAATACTTGTTGCCATCAGACTACTTTTTCTTGAGCTACTAGTAGGCTTGATTATCCAGGAGCTTACAATTTGGAAAGCCTCACCCTTGGCAGTTCCCAAAAAAGCCTCTGCTTTCCTATGAGTTTATTGACAAGTTTTCCAAGCCTCCAGTCACATTCTTCTACATTTTTGTTTTCACTTCTGCCTACCCTTGCTTCTGCTGGGGCTGAAATTGTTGCCAAACCTCCCAGGTTTGCATATTTCCCTCTTTGTACCATCCCAGTTAGAGAATGTTGTCGCATGGCAACACAATGCAAAGCATTCATTTAGTGACACAGAACAATCTAGCTAAAGGCTATTTCAGCCACACACGGGTTCATCTTTGTGGAGAAGAGCAGACAGAAGAAAGGGAAAATGTCCACAGATCCCACAATCCTTCTTTATTTGGAAGAATGGCTTTTAAATGAAGTCAAGCAGTATCTTGTTTTATCATTCATTTATTTAGCAAAGAAAGGAATGAATTCAAATACCCCACACAATGAACAGATATTCCCTGATATCAAGATGCAGATTTGCTTGTGAAAAATTTTAAATGAATCTGGTTTTTTTTACTATTGAAGTCATCTTGTACTGTGCATGGATTTGTGCAGAAGCAATAGCAATACATTTTGGGCTCAATTCTGTAAACACATAAAAATAAGTAACTTGTTACATCTATACCATTGATCTCGGTGTGGTTACTTACGTGATGAGTAAAATTATACTCAAGAGCCTAGCTTATGCCAACCTAGGCATGGAAATGACACTGAAAATTAGAAGTATATCTCTCTAGGCTCACTGCAGTGTTGGTGGAGACATACAAGCCCTCATCAGGATGTAACTCTGCCCATTTAAGTATGTTTTCCTAGATGAGACACAGATTATGCTGGTGGCAGGTACAGTTAAAATTGGCCAGATGCTTCAAGCAGAGCAAGATAAGCTTGGACCAAACTGTTTACAGAATTGATCTCATACAGCAAAGCCATTATGCATACAATCAACATTAGGAATGTGCTCATGTTGCGCCGATTTTATTAAAACTGGTCCCACATTTAAAGAAGTGAATATATTCATTCTATAATTATGAGGAAAAAAAAATACTGAAACATTTAATCCTATTAACATTTTACTTACATCTGGGACCTCTTACATTCTTTTCTGGTTTGAACAGCCATATGGTCTGATGCTCTGAGAAATTTCTTCACTAACATAAGTGGTTCAGTAGCTGAAACACTTATGTTATTTGTATGCTGGCGTGGTATTTTCCCAGTCTGGTGTGGATCTCTGGTAGAGCTAACTAAATGCACAGTATCCTACATCCATGTGAGACTTTAATCAGTACTGCTTAATAGCCTGGAAATCAAAGCCATTTAAGCCCCATTCTTTCTTCTACTCTCTCATGAAATTCCTAATCCTAGTAAAAAAATCTCTCAATTAGTTTTAGCCAAACCACACTGCTTCAACATCAGGTGACTGCAAACAGCTGGAACAGCTTCTACACAGAGTAACTTAAAAAGGCCATAAAGATCATCAGACTCAAATCAGCGTCCAAGATATACCTGCAAGCACAGGAGTCCATTTTCTAAGCAACCAAGGAATATATGCTACGATTCATTAAAAAAAAGCACAAAAACGTGTACTCGGGCATAGTGTACTTTGAGTTGGCCAATGAGTGTATATACCGTGACTGGCACTCTTGCTTCCTCCTCACTCCATGCAGCAGGGCTACATGGAAACAGCTTTACTTAGAGAATTTGCATTTATCTGCCAAACTGCTTGTATTCAAAATAGAAAAGCATTTTTAAATTTATGCAACCAGTGTAAACATGTTTAGCAATATTAACTAATGGCATCAGAGGTAATATAATTATTTATCCAAAATAGATCACTTTATCCAAGCAAAAGGATGAAGGACATTTAAGCATAGCATTTAACGAGCAAGGGTCTTGATTTTCCCTTTCAAAGAATAAAACAATGCTTTCATAACCAAATTTTATCCTTGAGAAAATTTGAAAGCTCTCTTGGCTTAAACAAGGTTTGCAGGAAATGCCCACTTGTTATATTTTTGACAGAAAGAAAAGTAAGTGCTTTCAAGAAAAAATGGACATCATTTAATAGGCGACTTGGCAGTGCTAGGTTAAATGTTGGACTCGATCTTAGACATCTTCCAACCTAAACAATTCTATGAAATCTGCTTTTTCAGCTTTGCAGCCTATTTTAGAAAAAATGCTAAATAAAGTTTAAAATTAACAGATACTGCACTTTGCTTTGCTCCATGTAGTAGGAAAAGCTGTACTAAACTACCTGGGCAGCTACCTAGAATTCAGAAGGTGATACAGTCAATGCATCTGGAGTCCTTTAAAATTACCTGACTCAAATAACTAAAGGCTTTAAAACGTGTTGTCTCACAACCCAGCTTGACAAGGAGAACTTGCCATCAAGCTTTTCTCATTTAAGTGCTGTGAAATTTCCATGTTTACCCTGCTGCTTCAGATAGAGTTTTGAATATATTTCTACCTGTGATAGAGAACAATTAAATTTAGAAAGCTAAATGACAAAGAAAAATAATTAAAAGAAACATTTTCTGACATGTTGGCGTGGGAGCTGCTCAAAGATCTGGAACACCTGAAATACTCCTTTAGGAGAGGGAAGTGTGAACAGACTGAGCATCTGCTAAATGGACTTCTACCTATGATCATGCAGACTTAACCTAGGGTCTTATTACCACATATATAACACATATCTAACATATGTATTTATCCATGAAAAAATGAAAAATAGATCACTATAAAGATAGGCGTGCCTCAAACTACTGAAGACTTAGGAAAAAAAAAGATAATTTCAGTAATTGTAATTCAAAAAGGTAAAATAAAAATACCTAGTTCAAATATTTTAAAGATATTGGTCTCAAAACTAATAGTCTAAATATAAAATCCAGAAGTCGGACTAATGTGCTCTTAGTACAGGGGCAGAAAGGAACAATGCTGCTCAAATGTGTGTATGTACATGTGCTGCTTTTTCCTGGTAGTAGCAACAATATATTTCTTTTAATCTTATTTAAATATAAAATGTATATTTTGGCATGAACACAGTAATTCAAATACCATACTGGTTATGATTTGGAGAGCTTTTCTCCTCTCTATTTCTTGCAAAGAAAATTTTCTCTTACGCAGGGCAATCAGCTAATTTATTCCTGGAAAACCAAATCTAATGTACAGTGAAAAATCACAAATTATAGAGACCTAGCATTATTATACTTTCTGGAGATGAGCTGCTGTGAAGGTGAGGTGCATTCATTTGACTGAGTTAGTAATAGGGAGAAGTATTCAGCTGGAAAAAAATAGGCGACTGATCTTAATTACTTTCATAGATGGTAAATGTGTGTTCATTTTACTGCATAGCATTTTAAAGACCACTTTGAATATTTTCATTTTGCTGTAGAACAGATTGGAAGCATAGTGCTACATTCAGATCTATCCCCATTCAAAAATATAGCTCACTGCCATGAGTAGATACAGTATTTACCATTGCTATGGAAATGTTTATTGATTCTTTTTGATTTTCTTTCATACATAGTTGTGAATCGTCATAACCTAGACATGTTTTTCTCTATTTGTCTATCATTCCATAACCTAATTATCAAGGGCTCTAAACAGAATGGAAACATCTCCATTCTGCTTCTCCTTGCATACCTCCCTAGTATTCTAGCGTGATGGTCTTTGCTTTTAGCAAGAAAATGAAAGCCCAGTTCTTTAATCCTTAATATTCACTTTCTTCTCACAAGCTTCTGAGAATAGCAAATGCTTCCTTGCTGCTATATACTCTGTAAAATCTGACTCAAATCCCTGAAATTTTTTTTTTAGTTATACATATGGAATTTCAGATACAAAAATAAAAATGGCATGAATGCATGTGAAAACAGACAAAGAAAAATGCTATAAAACTTTGCGTTTCCTCATCTACCACTACAAAAGGAATTAAAACTGATAACTTAAAACTCAAATAGTATTTTAAATATTTACATCAATGAAGTCCAACAAGATCATCACTTGAAACACCGTAAGAATGTTCCTCTAGGGGCTGACTGGTGCAGGTCAGACGTGACACCAAGGTGAGACAGCCCTTTGCAAATGTATACATATTCTCTGAGCCAGCTTTGTTTGTTGGACACGTGCATATAAAGTAAAAGCTGGAAAGAAAGAAGCAGACCTATGATTATGCCTACATACCCCCAAGAGCCAGAGATGGCACACAGTACAGGGTGCAGGTGCACGTTCTGTGCCCAGCCTGGTGGCAAGTGCCACAGCCATCACGGACAAGTGTGTCCCATGGGCATGCAGCAGGGAGAGGAAGCCTATGGAATGCCACAACAGACCTGCGAGCTGCAGCAAGGCTGGTTTATTAGAGACACAGAGAAAACCCTCCCAGCCTGCCTCTCCCATCTGCCCACCTCCCTCAGCCTCCTTGTGGGACAAGCCCTTCCACACCCTCACAAAAATTAAACTGAGCAAGGTGAAGGCTTTATGTGACTGGGCTTGGCTTGCAAGTGGAAACCACTGACCCTGGAGTGTCCAGGTTAATTACAAGATTGTATCCCTTGGTACTGCCTTAGAACTTCTCTGCACTCTGAGCAGCTGAACTGCAGTCAGAGTGATTTACAGCCCAGGAGGATCAGCCTACAGAGCCCAGAGCTGCTGCAGAGGATCACTAAACCACCACATTTCTTTTTGTCATCCCCAGCACCGTGTGAGCTCTTTTTGGCAGTGTGAGCTTCAGGAGACTGCTTCAGGGCTAACAGCAAAGCTCCCTTTTTAAACCCCAAGGAAATAAAAGACGATGCCTAAAAAGAAAATTGGATTTGTACTCCTGGCACAGGTTTAAGGGGTAACATTATTATTTCTTTTTAAAACTCCAGAATTACTTAGTCACTTGTTAAAGAAGTATAAGTGAAAGTTTATGAAACTGAGTGAAGCAATGCAATCCTCATGAGTGGTCCAGCAACATTGAGGGGCTACAGCTGCCCTTGACACTGAAGGCCAACCTTGCATTCTGCAAAGAAAACATCATGTCACAAACAGGCGGTTTGGGCTTTTGGCAGCAATGGGACATTGATGGCTTGGATCGTGCTTGAAATGTCTCTGAACTTCATCTCTGAAGCCTCAATCACATGAGCACTTGAGTAGCACAGGCCTTGGGGACTGGGGAGTTACAGAAGGCCAAAAAATACACAAGCCCATTAGTACTCATCATAATTATTGAAATCTGTAAAATAGGTATTAGAATAAGTCTTTGCAGTAAGATGCGGATTGAAGTATTTGTTTCTCTCCTCTAGAATCAGGTTGTTTTTGTTAAATGCCTGGTAAGAGAAAGAAAAAAATAAAGAAATCAGAAAATGAAAAGGACATAGGAAAGGTAACCACTAAGTACTCTATCACCAAGGCAATTTTTGTGGCAAATATCTATGTATAGTAAGCCAGTCAAAAATTCATTGAGAAATACCTGTACATTTACAGAAACTTGCACTTGCAAAAAGTATCTTCTTATGTAATAATATTCCTACAGAAAACAATTCTACTTAATAAAGCCAGACATTTTCCCCAAATATTAAAGAACTAATTTTATGATTATATTAATATTTTTAAAACATATATATGCAGTTCTTCCTATTAGAATGAGTCACTTACTATTTTTTTACTGAATAAGTATTATTTTCTCTTTACTGTCTTAATTCCCTGATTTTCAGGTGGCAGAAATGTCTGAAGGCCTTAAGAGCATAAATCCTGTTTTTTAAAAAAGTAATATGGGTATTTAGAATATGAATTTTCAAAGGTTTTTTTGGGTGTTTTTATTTTTTTTTTTTTTTGTTGTTGTTTCTGTAGCTATCTAGGGAGATTATGTGGAATTTGAAAAAGCTTTAAATTAGGTTCATATTTCACTGCTGACTAGAAGATCCAGACTTTTCTTGCTGTTTCTAATGATTTTCATTAAAATGTCTTTAATTAGAAAGAAAAATGCAGAAATTAAGAACTGGATTATCCAGGTAGGATTAAAGAAAAATCCTCATTTGCAAAAAAGCTTTGCAGCTGCATGAATAAACTTTGTAATCTCAAGAAACTGAACTAGGTATTTTCAGAATGCACATCCTTCCTTAATTCAGTGGATCTGAAAAGTGGAGTTATTTTAAAAGGTCACAAAAAGAAAACAGCAATTTTGGAATAATGATGGGATAGTATACATAGCATTATAGACTCTCAGTGTATTTGTACTGCTTTTTCACATAGTTTGGCTATAAACATCAATTGAGAGTCTGACCCAGAATATATTCACCAATACATCTCCCATATAGAGGCATAGTGCAGGTAGATAAACAGGGCACTTGAGACTGGATCATCAAGGCCAAAGGATTTTCTTCAGTAGATGCCATGGTGAATGGCCCTATTTACTTCTTGAACAAGCCACTAGGGAACACAATTGGGAAAAAAAATCCCACAAAACAACTTGAGTGATTTGCTTTCTTTCCAGAAAAACCTGCTGTATAAATTATACACACATGCAAAATCCAGCTTCCTTCCTAACAGGGATTGATAAGGATCTGCAATTACAACATCTGAAGTGAAATCTATTTTTGTCATTAATAGTCAGCATAAGTTGAGCTCGAATGCCGCTGCGGAAAAGTAGCAAGGAGAATTCTTTTGACACAGGGGAAACGTTGTCTAGGTGTACAGAGTAGCTCCCAGCCCTCTGCTCACCTTGATGGCTTCCACGGAGTCGTATTTGTCCAGTTTGTTGATGTGGTTGGTGATGCTGGTGTTGAGCGGGGCGGGTGACACCGGGTGGATGACAGTGGCGTCGTGGGACTGCTGCTGGTAGCGCTGGCAGTACGTGTAAACAAGCAGGGTGAGAAGGCAACCAAGGATCGAGCTACTTAATCCCACTGCGATCATGTGGAACATGTTGAACTCTGCAGAGCGGAGAGAAGAAGGCAATCTTAATTTTAAGGCAGCAGCAGTAAAAGCTTCAGCTCGGGGGAAAATGTGGACAAGTGTTTGATTCAAATAAGGATAAGGGAATTTTCATGTGTTTCTCTGAAACATCTCAATTAAAATGGTTTATCCCTACAGTGGTAAATTCATTTTACCTCCCTGAAGGGACTACTATAAGAATCTTAGCTACCCATATATCTCTGTAAGTAGAGATTGTTGAAAGATGCTTAAACAAGTTAAGAACACAAATAAAAGAAAAATTAATTGCATTCCGTATGTTTGAATAGTTTATCAGGGGTTTTTTTCAGACTGTATAACACTGCCTTGTTATATAGAAATTATGTATATAGTGTACATAAACAGCTTTTTTTTTACCCAGTGAACTACACTATCACCTCCTGTGCTGTTATTCCAGTTCTTTCTCTTACACATAGTGACTTGGGGCACTTACACATTGTGACTTGTTGACAAAATCCTGATATCCTTGAACTCCATTCCTGCTTTCCATAAACATATTCAATATCCATTTTATTGGATGCATGTCCCAGCAGCAGCAGCAAATATGTTTCCATCCCTGCTTTGATTCTTGCTGGTTACCATTCTTTTTGTATCTTGGCCAGTTTGTTCCCTTCTCCAGCTCTTAGCATTTTTTCTTTATTTAAGAGGGAGTGAGGAAGAAATGGTAGCATTCTAGGGGGAAATAGGTAGTGGCAAGAGATGGACTGCCTGAATCTCAATACACCTTTAAGCATAGAAGCCAGAGAGTGCAAAGTCAACAACTTGGAGCCCAGCACCCTCCTATCTGCTCTGCTCTTCAAAGGTACAATAGCATCAGACCATGGGAAACCCTCTCCACCTACACAGGGATTTAAACTGAGAGGAAGCCAATTGCTGCATGAAACTGTAGGAGGGAACCTAAAGCACAATCATCCCCTGTTGTTGCTGACCAAAGAGACCAGATCAGATATGGCACCAGTAGGATTAGCTCAAAATAAACAAATTGCACTGTTTTCCACTGTTATTTTGAACTGTGCTTTTTGATTTAGGGAAGAAGCATCACTGAGAAGCTCATGTTGGAAATTTCATCCTTAGCATGACTGAAAATTTGTTTGTTGTTGCCTAAATGTACAAATGAAGGATTTTAAACTGGTGCTAGTCTCAAAAACATCTCTTAGATCTTTTTCTTTTTTCTGTATCATAATGCAGAAAAATGGGCCAGTATATGGGTCTCATTTTTAAGAAACCTGAGGTAGAACCTTTACATGCCTATTGAGTACTTAGAAACACAAACTAGGTGACTCAGATGACTGTGTCAATATATCAATCTATCACTAAAACATCCTTTTACACCTTTATGAGTGCTTCCCAGTGCTGTAGAACTTGGCAAAATGTTTTCAGAGTACCACTGCTCATTAGCAGAAAAAATTCAAATGACATTATCTTTGCTCCCATAACAAGTTACCATACGCCCAAGTACCCTTGCATAACCTCTGCATTTCCGTTGTCCTTTATTAGGTTAAAAATGCAGCTTATCTGTGCATGGAAGAATACTAGAACGGGCCAGAGCTATTACCATGATGACACAGACTAGGCACGATAGCTCAGCACAGAAAAAAAAAAAGTTCATTTTCCTCCTTCTTCTCATTGTTTAGTGGCTTTAAAAGCTTTTCCTTTCAAGATCTCTTTTTCTAGCATCGCAAGTCTCTAGGATGGAATCTTTTATTTACTTTTTAGTTCTTTCTCTGGCAATGAAGCTGAAAATGAGTCCCACACAGTGTCTGGCCTATTAAATTTGTTAGCAGGCTGTTTTTCTGCTGTTTATTTGGAGACTAAAAGAGGTTTGTGGACTTATTATCCTTAAAAAGGCAGAGCAACAAATTTACAAATTTTGGCCTTCTGATAACTGGATTATTATAGATATTTCTTTTTGAGTACAAGGGTGACTGCCACACTGACAAAGAAGAAAATAAAAACATCTAATAATGCATGCTCTACTCTCAAAGGTCACTAATGACAGATGGCTATTTAATGAGAAATCCTATAGTAACTACATTTTCCTGTACAAGTAACTACTTTTTTCTGTAAAAGTGTAAATAATGAGAATGCAGCATTTAGAAGGTAGAATAATACTAAGGGAGTGCAAAAGGTGAAACAAAAGCAAATAATGGAGAATCAATATTTCAGCATTTAAAAGACATCTCGAGCTGAAAAGCTTACCGCCACATCGTTTCTCTTCTATGCTGCTGGATCGTGCCACAGATATTTCTAGAAAAATAAATAAACTACTTAGGCCAAGGAGAAAAAAATATTACAGAGAACTTCTAGTTAGATTAGCACAGCAAGGATTTAAAACTTCATTCTATTACATCCACTTCAAATTCAAGGTAAAAAATATTTTTTCTATGTGGTAGAATTAATAGAAAGGACCCATGATATCTTCAGGTTCCTTAGTTTCCGAAGCAAAAGCAGCAACTTATTTTTAATTCTTGCCTCAAAACATCTCCGGAATGAAAAGGATGAAATGCACATGGAAACATTCTTTGTGGCGTTTAGGCTTGTGGAGAAAGAGTTGATTTACTGAAGTAAAATTAACTACAGTTTAATTACCTTGTGCTCAAATGTGCTCATTACTTCTACAAGTCTCATCTAGCACTAATGTGAAAAGTGGGAATTTATACATCTTCAAAAGAGATGACTGTCAGTTTCATAGCTCTCACTTATAAACAAAAAAAAAAAAGTAATTCCAGCCTGTGTCCTTATCATTTTTACTCTGAAAATACAGAATAAAATCTGTTGGCAATCAAGCTTTTCCACTCCTTACTTCCAGACCACAGTTTCTATGAAGGAAAGTTCTGCCTTACAAATCAGTCTCTTGAACCTCTCTGAAAGTGTCAAGGTTCAACTGTATACAAGTGGGGTGGCTGACACAGTATACCTGGATTTCAAAAAAGCAGAATTTTAAGTTCTTTGATAACGTCTTTCCAAGCAACAAATGAAGTGAGGGAAAAGATACAGAAATGGGCTAATACTGTGTGCCCAGTTGCCACTTCTGCAGGGATTAGTCTTTTCAGCCAAGAGTTAGGGAGGAAACTCCTCAGTTAGAAGACCTGGATGAGAAAAAGCAAGCCAAGTGAACTAAATCTCGATTCCCTAGGTGGGAGTAATTGGCATGACCTTATCTGCTGTGTTACTGGTAATGTGAGGAGGAGCAGCAAACAAACCAGAAGGGCAAGAGACGTGGTAGTTTGTTTCAGATTCTGAAAATGTCTACCTTCCAAAACAAGATATAGAGTTTATACTGGATTAAGATGCAGATTCACAGAATGTGAATATTAATAGAACTTCAAAAGCTTTAGAAAAGAGAAAAGACAATGTGGAAGTTTTTGCTTTCATACTGAAATTTTTCACATTGGTTTTAGAGGAAAATACTATTTGGGAGTTAAAGCATTATGCACCATCCATAAAAACAGAGTTTAACGTTGCTGATGTCTTTGTTACATTGTACTATAGTTTACTGCATAGTCACACAAAGAAAAAGTTGCGTCACTGAACAAACACAGCTAGATTTCAAATGATACATTAAAATGTAAATTTTTCTCTCTGTGAAAAGACCTCTAGCTTTTTTTAATGTACACAGGGAGAAAGCTGACTGTTAACAGCAGTGCATTGTGACCACCCATACTGTTGTGTGGATTTAAATGACTCCTGTGATTTAACAACAAAAGCACAGTCATGAGTTTCCACAAATACTATAGAATAATATATAACGTGACTATCCATCAGGTACTTAGCAGTCATGGGAGATAAGGACTGGAGGCAAAGCTAAAAGTATTTACCTTTCTGAGCAGTTATGAATGCAAGGGACTCTGAAATTATTTCCAGATTAACAACCACAGCACCCATTTTGTACAGGCAAACCAAAAATCCGACAGCAACGTTTCTTTAATAATCCTAGCCTCAAAAACACTTAAAATAAAAAGCAAACTACTTCTGCTTGCTGTGTGTATTCATGTGGAGTACAATGGGAGACACCTACAGAATGCTGTGACAGTGACTAACCAAAGTCCCAGGCAATGACAGTAGGGACAGCTCCACAGCACTGGGTGCCATGGGACAGATTTTTATGTAGACACCAGATCCAACAACATTATCTCTGCACAGTAGACCAACATCCTGGTGCTGACTAAAGGCAAGTTCTGCTTCAGCTCATGGATCTGAACAGTGCAGTCTGGAACAGTGCTATGCCTCGGTCCTGAAACCTTGAGAGATTTCCCAAATCCTTCAAGGAGGTGGCAGATCTCACCTGGTATAACGTTGGAGTCCACAGCACAGGCTCGGCTCTCGGAGGCGTTGCCCGTGCACTGGGTGCCCACAGGAAACAGAACGATGCACTGCCGAGCGCGCGTCTGGGAGCCGGACGAGTCGCAGTCAGACCACTCGGACCACTCGGACCAGCTGTCTGCAGCAGGCAGAGAGGGACACACAAGGAGACACTGTGAGTAAGGAGATCAAGTGCACTGAGTGAGAGAGAGAGAGAGAAATAGCCTGTATTCCTGAGTTAGGACAGAAAGGACTCCCCAGCTACGACCGTATAGCAGAGGGCAGCTCCTTCATTCCGATAAAACAAAGGCAGTTTGGCTTTGGCAGAAATCTCCGAAATGTGGGTGTGATGGTAAATTTGCCACAGAAGTCTCGTGGTTTTGGCTTCTGCCATGGTCTTTGCGTGTGGAAGTGAGAAGCTGGAGGCTTCTGTGGGGGTGACGGAAAGAGTGATAGCTGTGGAATTAATTCCAGTCTAATCATTAGGGTGGACAAGGGCACTGCATTTTTTTATGTGCCTGACAAGTAGCAATGAGAACTACAAGAGTGCATATTCCAGTCTGAAACAGTATGTGTGTCTAACCACAAAAATAGAAGCATCTTGAAGATTTTTTAAAGTTTTCTTTTTTAGCTTTTGCTGTTTCAGGTTAATTTCTTGGCTGCAGATTCTCCTCTTCCCCATTCAGTTTGTCACCTTCTATTTCTTTTCTATATTTCTTCCTCTCCTCATGTAGCTTTGATTAAGATATTTTTATTTCATGCCTGTGTGATCTCAGATACTTTCCTTAAATGAAGGGAATCGATCTCATTCCCATGAGACGGTGTGAGTTTACTGCACTCGGCATTCTTACAACTCAAGGCCAAGCCCTGCCTTCATAGGAGACTTCTGAGTTTGGCAAATACAGGAAAGACAGAGCTCAGGTAAACTCCCTTTCTTCTGTCAGTTTTCCCACAAATATAGGTTTTTATGGGTTTTGACTACTATTCCAAACCAAACTTGTTTCTACGTCAAAATTTTAAGTGATTTTATGCCAATATGAAGCAAATTTACAAATCTAAATATTGCTTCAAATTAAAAACTCTGTATTTTCTAATTTTGATTCAAGTTAGATTGAAGAACGTTACAATTTGTGAGTCAGTGAAGTTTTCGACACTGTTAATCAGGTGGAAAGTCAAGGACATTTTACACTCTTTGGGGCCCCTTCCAATACCTTGTATAATTCCAGAATACAAGGTTCACATTTACTCATTACTTTCCCCTTGTTTCCCCTTGGGAAAGAAGTTAAAACTCTCAGTCCTCTAAAATTTAACAGACTTCAGCAGGAATATTTGAGACTGCAGTCTTGAAAAATGCCAAGCAATGGATGTTGCTTATTAAATAGATTTACCTAGCAGGTCAGGTAAGAACTAGGATATTGATATTTAATGAACGATTAGTAACTGTCTGGATGAGGCCTTCTTTGAACAACAGGACAAATACCTTGATTCAATCAGCTTGTAAGATCTTGTTATTGTGAGTAGCAGAAATACTCAGCTCTGTCCTTTGGCTTTTCTGTTTCCCAGGAAAGGTCCTGGGAGGGGCTCATTTGCAGAGCAGGTACTAGGAGCATAGAGGCAGATGCCAAAATGTAGTCCAATCCTAATTCAGGAGGGTAGGAGAGCTGAGGTGGGAGTCAAGCAAATGGAGAAGCTTCCTGCTTACTTAGTGTGGCACATCCAGTGTCAGCTTCTGGGTCTAAGTAAAATAAGTATATGGATCCTTACCTTAAGTAACAATAAAGCCCTGCTCATTCAAGCTTAAAGGAATGTTGCCCATTACAAATCTTGACCCAGTTCTCACTGATGTCAGAGAGCATGCTTAAGCCAGAGCCAAGATTCTTGTCCAGTCCTGGTATAATTGGGATATATGCAGCAGGTGCCAAAATACTTGTGGGCATCCTAAATGTATCTTGTTGGCTGGTGCACTCTGCAGCCCCATCTTGTCCAACGAGCTTTTGACCTGCCAGATCCTTTGCTGAAGAAGCTACATTCCATGATGAAGTAGGAACTTCAGAGTACACAGGGATCATGCTAAGTCATATATGGGTGGCTGGGCAAGGTTATTGTTTCCTCCTGCTCCTTAGGGGACCCATAAAGAAGCCATGTGAGTCCTGCAGTGCACCCAGGCACTACAGGACAGGGAGTCTGTGTGTCTGGTGCCGGGCTGATCAGCTTCATCTGGCACACAGAATCACAGAGGAGGAGAGCAGGGACATCAGTGCAGGCATGAAACAGAGGGTCACCCCTGCTATGGTGGCTCCTCACACCACAGGTTTGGTGTGAGGAGGTTGTTGGGAGCTGCAGAGAAGTAAGACTAACAGATGTAGGACTTCAAATTGTCAATGTGCCATCACTGGGAAGGTGATCCCATAGCTTTTGCATGCTTTTCTGCTGACAGTTATCTTGCCTCATTCCTTTGATTTCTGTATCTTCAAAGGACTTGAGGCTCTCTTGCACCTCAGGCAGACTCCTCTCAACTTGCTCCTCAGTTCTGTGCACAAGTCATGAAAATGTAAAAGAGAGGGTGGACTGGAGAGGTGTTTAACCTGGAACTGCTTTTCACCTCTATGGCAAGGCTTAATCATGACATGTTGTATCTACTTCCTACAGAGTCTTGGCTGGCCTTTGAAGCCAGGTTAAGATAAAGCAGTTCCTAAGAGATAGCTTGGTTTAGGCGGCACTGCAGAAAGAGCAGATTAATCAATTTAACATTTAAATTTCTTTCATGCAGTATTACACCACCATCTCTAAATGCTCAGCTGCTTTGTCCATTATTTGTATGTGTAAGTTACCAATCCAAGGACAGAATGTATTTTCACCTTACAGAAGCAATAAATACTTAAGGTATAAAATACTGTTTTATGCAACATATTGCAGACACCACTGCAACTGGTTACACTTAGTGATAATCAGCCACTACTGATCAATCCTGCAGTGCTTCCTTTCATATTGCTGTGATTGCATTTGGGTGAATTAAAACAAAAACTACAAACTCAATGATAGAGCTTTTAAAATGAAAGATGAAAAAAATTGATGTGCTTTGCAGACACAAGCCTGTTATTTTCTTTTAAGTGCATACTTGAATACTTTCAGTTGGATTTGCCATTAAATCTCTATATCCGCAACAAATCCTTTGCATCAGGATTCCAGAAAGTTTTGTTTTCTGCTAGTTTTGTTTGGAGGGGGGGAAAAAAAAGGAGTATTTCAAATGCCAAAAAATCTTAGCTCTTTTCACAACTTAGGAAATGTTATAAATCATTTCCATTTTATGCATATTCATTTCAGTGTTGGTTGGTTGTTCTTAGATGCCAAGTGTCATTACTATTCTCTTATATTGAGCATGTCACTCAAACAGTGAATATCAGCAATGGCACTTTCAGACCTGCACAAGGATGAATCACTCTTCACCTGATCCTTACCACAAGAAAATGGCTCTGCAGGCATTCAGGCACCTGTCCAAACTTGATATATGAAGCACTGTGGTTATTTTTGACTCATACATGTGAAATAAGGACAGCAAAAGGCAGTTTGGAAATCTATATTGTAAACATGAGGCAAGGGCCATTCTCACAGCTAGTGGACGATGCGCTCTTTCAAAAACCTATGGCAAATTTCAGTGGGATTGAAATATCAATAAAATATTACAGAATGTGAAAAATACATTTTAAGCCTCTGAAATATTATTGTTTTATAAGGGTTTCCACTTTCTTGAACCAAGATGGATGGAACCAACTTTCTCCTCCATTCTCCATCTGCTCCAAAATTTAGGTCACAGGCAGGTCAAAATAAGATGAAGACATTATTTATGAATGTTTGCAAACTGTCATTTATAGGGAAATGAATGGTGGTAGAAAATAAATGCACAAAAGAAATAGCAATACTAGCACAGTGAACACTCCAGCTCTGACCTTTCAAAGATACCTCAAAGGATTTCAAGGCAGCTATGCAACTTCTACATACAAATGTACACTATTTGTCTCAAAAAATCAAAGAATCAACTGATTTCTATGCTTGGTTTTTGTTTAATTTTTTGGTTTTTTTTTTTTTTTTTTTTTTTATTTTAATCAGGTTTTTTTTTTAACCTAATCTGCTTTAATTTTGACAAAGTAGGTACTTTTATTCTGCTGGAAGACACGCAGTGCCTAGAAAAGGAAAGAATCATAGCAAGTATTATGATCCATTTAAACTCATGAGGCTTTTGCCCTTGCATGCACAGCCTCATTATATGAGCTGAAAACTTTTGCTATGAAGTGAAGGAGCTCTAAGTGAAGCAAGTAATAGAGTGTGGCATCAGAGCTTTTTTCCTTTTGCTGTTGCCTATAATCCACTAATAAGCAGTAAATGGAAGTTTATGTAGTTTTAATCTCAATTTCTCACTTAAACTTAATTTAAAGAAAAATAGTTTCCTTTAATATGAGTCAAAAGGCAGAGTCAAAGTTACAGAAATAGACATGATCCATAATATCATACAACTAGCAGGAGTGCTGAGACATTTAATCTACTAAGCACTCCACGGTCATTTAAAAAGATCAGATCTTTGCTCCTTAACATACAAAGTTGAAGAAGAAAATTTACAAAGACCATGAAAGTTTTCTTTGTGCTTTAAATGAAAACAAGGCAAATATTATCTTCTTGAAGGACCTAGTGATAACACATGTTGAATATTAACCTCGGCAATTTGCTTGCTTTGAATGTTTGGTGTTGTAACAAAAGCACTTCTTTGTGATATTTTTATTAAAAGTCTCATAAACCATTTGCATGGTCCACTTCAAATATTACACAATTTTATTTAATCCAGGTTCAGATATAGTAACTTAGATTTTAATTTTTAAAGAGGGAGGAAGGAGGCAGTGTCCAATAGAATATACTCTGCTAGTTCTTGATTTACTGTAGCATGTAGGAGCTGATTGCACACTTAATAAGGGAGACGAATTATTTGCTTCTGAATAATAGATGAAGGACATTCTGTAGCCTAAGCGGGCACGCCTCGTTCTGTGGCACACAGAGAAGGAAGGTGGCTGGGCTGGGTGGCTGTACCTGGACACGGCTGTGTGTTGCAGAGTGCCTCCTCAGTGTGCAGCCCAAGGCAGATATCCCCTCCGTACGCCGGCGCCGGGTTGGTGCAGGAGCGCGTTCTCATGTAATGCCCTCCTCCACACGTTGCTGAGCACTTTGACCAAGAGGACCAACAAGACCAACCTCCATCCACTGAAAAGACAAAGAATACTGTATTTCTCAAGCTGATGTGAGACACGACATAATCCAGCTCATCTTGCTCATAGGTCCTGGTACGCTAGAAAAGCCGAACAAAATTACTCATTCATATAAGACACTTTTAGTGGGTATAATATCTTTTAGGGCAAATTTTTTTTTTCTTTTCTTTTTCTTTTCTTTTCTTAGTTTGGAGGAAACAAAATACCAAAGCTTGTTTAGCAGAAATATTGTAAACTCAGAGTAGTTTTTTATTGATATAAATAAAACTTAGCCAAATAATCGCAACAGAAGGATGAAGGAATCCAGAATTTGTTTCACAACCCAGGTAGATTGCCTTAACCCTACAACCCATTTCAAATGATCTAACACAGTTGTAGGATTTGATGGACTAATATAATGTTACAGTCTTAACACAGCTCTACCATAGACGTCAGAAGTAGAACAATGGCAGAAGTTTAAAAAGTAAAAGACACTGACAAAAAGGAGTTGCCACTTTAGGTTTCTAAAATGAGTTTTTGAAGAATAAATATTATTATTTACCTTCCCCTCCCTACCCTCTTTTGCATTTACCAATACAAGTATGTCAAGCTATTCTCCAGTCAGTTTTCTTAACATTCCTCTGAAACGTAGGCAAGATTTCATGGGAGACCCATTTGTCACATAGTTTATGACACTAGCCAAGATTTAAATGAAAGTTCACCTCATTGCCTGCACCAGTCTGGCTCCTTTGAGCCCCTGTTCCTAAAGGTATCACTCCAGGATGTATTTCTGGTATTTACAGCCACATTGCAGCCCATCTGCCAAAGACTTTGTACCTGTAGCCACATGACAAAGTCACATGTACTTCTCCCAGAGAAGTATTCCTTTTGCTCAGTATTTTCTTAATTTATCTTTTTTCTTTTAAGAGATGAAACCTTAAACATTCAAATTTTCACGTGCTAAAAAAAAAATTTCTTTTCAAACCTCTATTTCAAGCATTATCACTTGAATTCTTACGGAAGTAAATTATTTACCATGTCTTTTTGATGTTTTCTGTTCAATCAATGAAACAGCCTTTCAAGGGATAGTTTATACTGGTTTACTGAAATGCTATTCCCTCATTATCTCTTACCATTAAAAAAAAAAAAGGTTAAACATCTTTAAAAAATTAGCTTACAATGAAAAAATCTATGTGGTATTTGCATTTAGATTTTGTCTTAGAATGAGATGTAGAACATTAAAAAATACTCATTTTGGCTTTACATGATGGTATATCACAAATGCACTTGGTGAGTTGAGTAGAATGATTTCTATGCAAAGTCTTCAACACTGAGAAAATAAGAATCTTGATATTAAAAGGTATACATGCATTTTTAATGTCATTTCAGATACAGGTTCTCAACTGCTACTCAAACAGATAATTCACTATTACATAACCAAGATTATTTACTAATCCTGTAATTGAAGTTGTTGAATATACTGCATTTTATTCCCTGCATTGTTTGTTTGCAACGTTATCCTAAACATCAAGAAAACATGGACTTGGCACTTCCTTGCCAAAAACTGTAGTTGTGAAAACTCTTGCAACTAATTTATCTGGACTCTGAAGCCTGATTTGACAGACAAGATTTCTATAATCTGGTACTATATTCCAAGTATGCAATTTAAATAAATTATTTCCATTATTAAGGAATTCAATGATTGCTACATCATACAACAAATCATTGTGCATGAGAGAGTTTTATACCATCTATCATAAATAAGTACTGTATCTCAGTAGAGTATCTGACTTGTTCTCTTACTCGTGTTTTTCTTATTCATACTTTTCACTGGAAAACAAATATGTCTTTTTGCCTGAGATAACTCTATTAATGCAGTATTATGCAAACTCATATCAAAGAAATCCATAGGTTATTTGTCTTCAGTGCAGATGAAATATACTATGCAATTTTATAACCATTTCAAGACACGGTATCCTTTATTCAGAACTTGCCTCTTTTTTTCATTTATTAAAAATTATGTCAAATAAAAGTAGAAGCTGTTACCCAAACTATTTATTTCATACGTTATTAAGGCTTTACCTTTCTAGATACTCCCTTTCTTCTTATTTTATTTTTTTCTTTAAAGTGATCTTTGACTAGCTCAATGAATGATCAGAGGCATGTCTGCTGCAGCATATAGACCTTCATGAAACAGAATTGATTCTGCCCGAGATTAACTACACACAACATAAATTGTCTGCAAACACTGGCAGTGCATTGTTCACTGCAATGGAGACTGCAACCCCCAACACTTTCCTACCTATTTTTCAATGGACCAGAGTGAGAATTATAAATGCACCTGCATTTGAAATTGCTATCGATCTACAGGTGGCCGAGAGCACAGAGACCAATGTGACACCCAGGGACGTCACCACGTTCCACAACTGCAGTGAGCATGGCTGTACTATGTGTCTTCAGATGTAAAGGGAGAAGTGGGTCTGGGGAAGGTGCAGAAGGACAAATATAATAGACAATATTAGATTTGATCCTAGTTGAGCTGGACAGTGCAACTATAACTGGATTTTTTTAGCAACTATTTACTGACAGGCTGCCTCTAACCTTTCAAGGACTATTGTAACTACCTCTTTTATCTATCCCCAGAACTTACTTTTTCTTTTCAGCAACAGAGGATAATAAGGCATTGTCATGGTTAAATAAGATCAAAGGAGTGGGTATTTACTGCTTGAGTTTTTACAAGACCTAAATAGAGCTCTGCGGTTTCTTTCATCTTTCTTTAAGTTGCTTAGCAACAAAGCACCATCTGGGTTTTTTTCTCCTTTTTTTCCTTTTGTCATGGAGCCCTTAATGTTATTTCTGCCTCTTACAGGAGGAAAAATACACAGCAGCAAGTTCCACTCACTACAGTTTCTTTACATAACAATTTTGAAGAGATGTTGGACAAAAGAAAGTCATTACAGTAGTTTCACAATGAAAGATTTAAAGAGTCTTTACATTTTTGACAATTGCTGAGATTGGTCCCTTTAGGAAGAAGGCTCTTTTTAACTAGGAGGGTGCTATCAACCAGTGCTCTTTCTTTTGCAGTAAAGCAAACAACTTTTTGCCTACTGGCCATGATTGAGGTTAATAAGTATTTCTTCACTGTAATGAAAAAACCACACGCCATAGGGAAGAGGATGTACCAGGAAGAAACATCATACAGAAACGGGATCTCCTGAGGGCACAAAACATCCACACAACTGGAGAATTTCCAAGAGACAATTAAGTAAACTGGATACCCTGCTATGCACTTTGGATTTTACAAGGACATGTGGGCAGACACAATGACCTCACCTACTTCCATGAGAACACAGACAGAATTGCAGGCTCCTTTATAGACTGTCTGCAAGTTGGACAGCCTGCTGCTCCCTTCCAGACACCTGGAGATCATCCCATTCCACACCACTTAGTCTACTGCTTTTTCCCAATCCTGTGGGATACTGCTGCATGTTTCAGTGTGGGAAATGAGCAATTTTTACATCATAGCTTACAAAGGCAAACTCTTATTTCTATGATACCTTTTATTCATAAAAGCAATGCTGGATGAAACAGTCAAAATAGTGCAGTGCAGGAACATAAGGCAAACAAATGGTTCTACGAAAAGAATAATAACAAAATCTAAGGGTCCACTCGGGTTTAAGTCTGTAGCTGAGACTTTTAAGTCAGAAAACCAACAGTTGCTTCAAAGAGCAGTTCATCCCTCTTCTTGCTGGCTATAGAAGCAGCCTAGAGAGATCAGTGGGATAATGATCAGAGAGATCATTATGAGATGGGCTTCAGCCTCCATTTACTCCTGATTTCTGAAGCTACTGCAGGATAAATTTTATTCTTTTAAAAACATTCTTGTTTTCTTGTGGCCAAGCATGAGTTCAAAGAAAAAAAGAATAGGGGGAAATTAAAACAATAAACAAGAAAACAAATTAAAAAATAAAATAAAAACCAAAACAAATAAAAAGCAATTGTCTTTAGGGAATTCATAAATAACAAATAGTCTTTCAGGGATTTTTGAAACTCATTATTGTTATTAGCAGGTTTAGTGATATATGAATTTATTCAGATCTTCTAAGCTAAAATGTCACAACTAAACTAAACTCGAACTACTATAATAAAAATCTGAAATTGGTAAAATCCCAAAATATTGTCATGAAATATCAGATTTTCAAATTTAAGAGATGGCAACTGTCCTTTTCCTCTGATCCTCCCTCCACCATGCCCTGAAGACAAGAGAGAACAGGAACTCCAGTTCATGCTACTCAGTGCTCATATAGCTCTGCTTTCAATGTCTAAGTAAGGCACATCAGCTACGTGTCCTTATGCAAAGGAATATAAGAGAAGGCAACAAGAAACAAACCAAAACACAAATGAAGAAAAGTTGTCTTTTTCTACAGAGAAAACTGAAGAGATGTGCAATACTGTCAACTAGGACAGCCTTCTTTAGGTTTGGTTGTATTGTCAGACAAACAGATCTTATAGTCAGAAAATTCCTGTAATTTTTGTAGCTTTGCAGAATCTATCATTCAAACAACACTTCTCTTCATCATCTATTTCTCTTCATAATGTAAATATCTTGCAAACCCCCAAGGATAACAAAACTTTAATTTTAGATTCCTTTTATTATTGACTGCAGATTAGTAACTCAAAGAAAACAGAAATGTCAGTGAGCATTCACAGATCCTTTCCATGGTTTTTGAGGCAGTTCAGTTCAGTTCTTGCCAGCTTAATGCTATTCACATCCCTGAGACATAAAAGAGAGCTGAGGCACAGGTTCAAAGCATAATTTGCTAGTGCAAGACAATAGTTCAAATTCTCCTGCCCCTCAAAGTAACTTAGCCAGATGGAAAGAGTACTGAGAACACGCCTTTACCCTACACTGCCTCACAAACTATTTCTGCAGCTTATTTGGGAGAGTGATAGTTAGTTGAAGGCAAAACTGTACGAGAGATCATTCTAAAACTTGAACAATACAGACATATAATCTTCCAGGACCTGGATACAATTTCTGGCCATTTTCTGGCACTGTTCAATTTACCATTATATATTCAGCCTTCAAATACTATGAGCAAAAGGCCCAGTGACTGCTACCAATCTCCCCATCAGTGGACCATTTACTACTGCAGAAAAAATTCAGTTTCTCTCTCCCCTGCAGGTTTAAAAAAAGGTTTAATAGAACTTGCTGAAGGCAGAGTCTAGATGACTTCAGTAATTTTTTAAAGTTTTGGGATCCTGCATTTAACCACCAATTTATGTTTCTTAATATATTAATAAGTATATTTACGATGCTGCAAGTGTTGCAAGAAACTTAAACATACAAGACAGCCTTGGACACTTTGACTGCTCCATGGGCTTTTACATTGTGTTAGTCCTTCAGAGCTCTAAGTATCTTCCAGGATGACACTGAGCCCAGATCAATTCCTTGAGAAGCACGATGTCCTACTGACTTTCAGCGTGACTTAACCACTGCTCAGTATCTTTCTCTATCACTCCCTTTCTCAGCGGTTTATATCATGAGGGGTTGATGCTGCCTGCAATAAGCAGAAGAGGCAGCAAAGCAGAACTGAGCTTGCCGTGGCAGGAAGGGCTCTTTATGGCTTCCACTGCACCTCTGCCTGCTAACCAGAATATTTCTGGAAGTGTAATGACTAGGCTGGACTGTTACTAAAAGGTTCTGTGCCAGAATGGAGTTGAGGTGAAGCTGTCCTTACTGTGGAGGAGCTCAGGAAAATCTTAGGCAGCATCAAATTCTTTGTTGCAATTTTAATTCTGGTACTACAGAAAATACTTTCAGGTCAAGGTCAGAACAAAATCTCCTCACATTCCTTAGCCTTTCTGTCTCTTTCATTAAAAATTAAGAGAATTCAAATTTATTGGTGTACTTCTCCAGTAAGAATTTATTTCCTTCCTACAAGTTTATAATCAGGTCTAATTTATGGATAAGCCTTATCCTGCAATAATATTTTACTCTCCCATGTCTCAAAAAAAAAAAAAAATCAATTACATCTAGTGCTTTCAAAGTTTTCCCTTCAGATTTATTTGAGATCTGATTTAATCTCCTATTTTTTTTTAATTACTGTCAAAGAGTCATTCTGTAGCTGAGGAAATTTGTGATTCCTTGTTGCAGGCTGTGATACATCTAAATACTTCTTTCATTCTCTACATCTTTATTCAATTTTGCTTTGCACTGTCAAGAAAAATAAAACTTGTTTCTTAATAAAATTATTAGATAGATTAGGGCACCACTTCTCGCTTCAGAAAGGCCCACCATACTTTATACCCACTGACCTTTTAAAATATTTTCTTATTCAAAGTGCAGTTTTCACTTCTGCCTTAAAATTTGTGGTTTTTAGTCTGGGGTATTGTCTATCTCATAAACAACTAGGGCCTCTACAACAAACTTATAGGTGTGTTTTACTGGTTAAAATAATTTCTTTCAAAAAATGTAACAGTGAATAGCTGCAGAGCTTAATAAAAATACCACCTCTGAAAACTTTTGACTTATTTTACCTTTTAAAAAATCCCCAAAAATTCAAGACAGCATTTAATTTGAAAATCAACAGCAAGGGCTGAACAACAAATCTAGCCCCGTTTTATAGGCAATCTGTGTCCATTTAATGAATGTATTTCAGTTACTACAGTATGGTGATGTGATCAGATATCTCAGAGCTTGTGAGCCGAGCTGGTACCTTATATCACACTACTCATGTGCTTCCAAGGAAGCTGACAGCAGTGTCCTATGGAGAGATTCCCTTTGCAAGGGGAGCAGGGACCAATGAGCAGTTGCTATGTTCCAGGTTGCTTCACCTACAGCATACACCCCTGGGGAGGTCTGCACACGTTTGTACAATGGTCTTCTAAATCTGATTTAATTAATTACTGCCAAACAGTGCAGTTACATGAAACAGAATTGCTTATAATTTTATTATCCTGGAAAAAGCAAGGTGCTATGATTCTAGTCTGGGAACTAATGAATCACACACTAGGGCTGGACCCACATGGAGAAGACTTAGACCACAATTTTCTAATTCTCTGAAAAATACTGGCTCTCTGTTGGTTCCCTTTTACCTCTCTCCAATAATGCATAGTGCAGAAAACATGGAGACCCTTCACTGGTCATGTCTCTATGCTCAGAAAGAAGCATCATCTCTTCCCTTGATCTCCTCAGATGTTCACACTCCCAGATAGAGAAGCTACAAAATGAGCAACTTGAAGCTAGTTTCCTCCTTGGACACAGCAAGAAAATTTCACCAGAAAGAACTGGGTGCTTGTGCCCAAGTGCCTCTTTTAGAACTTCGATGGCTCAATGGGCGTTTCCCCAGATCAAAACAGGGATCCTCAACAGAAATTCCCCATGGATCTGCCCCACTAGCAGGAGAGCTGGGGGCTTGAGTGCCTCAAGTTTTCAAACAATCCTACTGTTCCTGTTAGCAATAAAACTGCAGAGAAATTTGCTTTCAGTGAACAGCCAGAGTGTTCAGAGTGCTGCTGGGTTTGTAGGCTGTGTGCCAAAACATATTGCTTAGGTTCAGTTCAAGATGGCAGCATGTTTTTCCAGAAACTGTGTCCTCCCGAGAGGGAAGTGTTTTCTGCACAGATCTGCTTAAATTCTGATGCAAGGAATGGACAGTGACTGTTAGAGGGCTTTAAAAGCTTAGGGAAAGCACTGCAAAAAAATTGGACTAAATACTTGTGTTATAATAACCAGTGTGTCCATGATTTAAGGAATACAGTTTTAATTTGAAACCATATATGTATATGTTAATACACATGTATGCTTTAAAATAGTGGTACACATACATAGTATATATACTGCCATAGTAATTCTTCAGGTCCACACTTGAATAAATGACAAAATCTTAAAGTCTTCAACAAGAAAATATGTAGCACTGCTACACATAATTAATACAATTAAAGATGTATGAAAAGCTTATTTCTAAATGTACTTGTTGCTGCTGAAAATAACTGAATCTTTCAGTCTTCTTTCCTTCTTCTCTCTATTGTTTCTTACCTTGAATTCTCTCTTCCTAAATCAATAGCACCTTCTTTTCTTCATGTGTTCTCCTATATCTTTCACCGTTCTTTTCCCACAAAGCCTCTGTAAAGCTCAAAAGCCTTTCAGTTTGAATGTCTGTTTTACAAAGAGTGAAATGCGACTGAAACCAAGATTTTTTTTCCCCCTCTAGGTCGGAAATACCACAACGATTTTTAATCCAAAGTAGTTTCTTGTAAGCATATATTCTACTTGTAATCTCTTTCATAGAATCATGAAACTACTTTAAATTAAGGAGAAACTCAATATTCCAAGAACAATCTTTATGGACTACTTGAATAAGCATCTAATTTGGTGATCAGTTGTGAACCATATTTGTGGGCAATCAACACTTAAAAGCTAACATTGATTTAATGTCAGCAACTACTGTGATGAAAGCAATATTTTGAGTTTAAATAAAGACTAGGTCAGGTTTATCATGTCTTGACAGAATTCTTATGTCTTTTTTTTCCTATAAGTTTACATACAAAAATTATATTTTTACGGTCAGTCTCACAAGTGGAAAAAGATATAGATATTAATACTCCTGACAATACATTTATTGACGTCACATTAAAATATTACCCAAATTCACTCACATTATAAAGGTAAATTTGAGCTGAAATCGATTTAAGAACCAAAACAAACCAAATACTCACCAACTAAAATAGAAGAACCTCAAACCAAATATTGCAAGGTATAACCTTGAAGATGAGCTACTTTATTTTCTTTAATTTCATTTGAAACTTACCTGGGCAAGGCAAAATGTTGCATTCCTGGTACTCTAGAGATGGGCCAAGGCAAGGAAGTCCCCCATATTTGGGCTCAGGATTGCTGCAGACCCGTTTGCGATTGCGGATACCTCTACTGCAGTCACGACTGCACTGAGACCACGGAGACCAGGGTGACCAGGCACCATTGATGGTATGAGCAGAGTATCTTCCAGAACGCAAGAAGTCCCCTGACAATCCTAATAAAATAAGGATTGAAAAAGTAATGCTGAATTAAAACAGTATCTCACCCCAAACTAATATTTTCCTCTTCAAATTTACTCCTAGGCTTCTAGTAGCAAGTAATATGAACAGGAGTGCTTTGTCATTTAGTCTCACAATCTCAACCTGAGTTTAATCTCAAAAATCTGTTCCATAATAAAAATTTCATAATCACTTACACAGAACTACAGTGAAGAGTTGGATCCAACATTCCAGTTAAAACTTTTTGGTTTCATTGACTGAATTATACAATTTACTCCGCCTAAGAATGATAAAAATTTTCTCTCTCTTGCACAGGAATTGCTATCAGAAAATCTCCAAATATATTACATAGATATAATTGCCTCTGTTTTACAGGAAGAAGGTGACAAAGGAGACTGGATTGAGGTTCCTGTGACCACTCATTGAGCCAGCTCCCCTGGTCCTCCTGCAGGGCTCTGCCCACTCAGTCCACACAGCCTGCCTTCACTGCTGCTGGCTGTGCACAGAGGCTCACGAGTATCTCTTGCACTGTACTTATCCTATATTCAGACTTTAGATAGTGTCCACTAATAATTTCACAAAGTCTAGCAAAACTACCCTCTTGTACAAAGCAATGTTTTGCCAATTTAAAAAACAGTTTATTTTCCACTGAGTTGAAGCTAAGCTACATATATGCTATAGAAATCAGCCTTTTGGACCCACACACACACACACCATAGAAAATTAATTTTTAAAGTTATCATCTGGCCAGTGGAAAACATATTTTCTAAGTAAGTTTAATACAGAGAAAAGGCATTAAACAGCAATGGATGAAGTCTGCTATTTATCGGTGAGAGGGGAAACACAGATCTTGTTCACAGCATGCAACCAATAGACCTGGATATAGTCCTGAGTGAAGTTCTAATAATCTGCAGTCCATTTGAGTATCTCTATCACTTTTGGTATTGGTCCTGCATGTGAAAAGACTCCCTCAACTGTAGTAAGCACAACACTAAAATCACTCTTGAGCTGTAGCCTTACCTCTAAGCATCATTACTAAGCATCTCCACCAACACTACTGGGATTTCCTACTGTTGCCAAAGCAGTTCAAAGCCTTTCCCAGTGGAAACTCTGATTGATGGACCAATACTTGCTGCTTATGTTACAAGTACTTATTTAAGTAGCTGAGATGAGAGAAGGTCCTGTGAATGGTACTTCAGCCAGCAGAGGATGTGGCTGACTCTATGCTTCAGTATTGCCAACGTAAGTGCAGATGAACTGTATCATCAACAGTGGAGAAATGCAGGGGATTGTTTGCAGCTCTAACTGCAGCACAATGTCTATTCTTAAAATTTTGTGCCCTATGCACAGGCATAAGCATGGTGGAATTATGAAATGGAGATAAAGAATCAGAAGATTTACTGAACGATGCCATGAAAACAGACAGAAATAATACCGTGAAGAGTCTGCCCAACAGCAGTCCTGCATGGAACAGGATCAGCATTCTGCATAACTATGATGGAAGAGCCTCTTACTTGCAGTGTTCACCCTATTTCTACCCAGGGTTATGGCATTAGTAATACTGCTTAACTTCTTCCCCAAGAAATACATTCACAATCATCCCAAAGTAGATGAGGGTTTGCATATTTTTATTCAATACTTGATAACATGCAATATTGGAATGATGATGCACTGACACAGAAATACTGGTAATAAGAAACTGCTGAAATTAATAAGAAAACAGCAGAACTGCAGTATAAAAATGACTAAAAATGGATAAAACCTTTCAGGAATTATACAGGGTAACTATTTCTTTCCTGCTGAGCCAGATTCTATTACGCAGATATTAAAAGCAGCATTTCAAAAAACATGACATACATTCAAATGCAAAAAAGGAGCAGATACAGAGAAACAGAATGTGAATTACAAATACAGGTCCACTTTCCTGCTCTGTAAGACCCTTTTTATGCGATTTTGTATCACTCTGGTCATGGAAATTCTCAGCTTCTGTATACAGTGAGCTCTGAGAACAAAATAATAGTATGTTTTATGCCAGAATTCTAAATCAAAGGGGTTTTTAAGTTATTAAATTAAGAGCAATGCAAACAATGAAAAAAGTATTAATCAGACCAGACTGCCAGTCATTCCATTCATAAATCACTGCAGGGTGTATCACTTTGTGCTGGTCAACCCATCACACACTTTATAAGAATACTAGGATATTTTGAAGATATTTTGGCAGGATACATGTAGCTTTTTAAGTCCTAAGGAAAATGTGTGACCTTATCTGACATTATGGTATTACATTTCTTGTGATTTAAATTGGGGACTGGGGAATGGAATCTTCTAAGGGAAAGCTCAAAGGTAGTTTAGCTCTGAAACAGAAAAATATTCCAAAGAATCTTTTCAGTGTGGAGTTTGGCCTGCAGCAAGTGTTCCCCGGAGTTTTCTTCTTACCAAACATTAAAAAATTTATTATAAGTACCAGTCTTTTCACAGTTTTACACTAGTTAATACAGTGTTCATAAAGGGGGTTTTGAAATTTTCTGTTCAGACAGAAACTATACAATAAAAAATTAACATTATGCCATTAACAGCACAAAAAGTTACAAGATCAGTTTGCAGACTGGAAATACTGTTCTGTATATTCCTTGAACAGTGTTATAGGCTTTTACAATGATGGGACAGGGTGCACAGAGGAGGGGAGAACAGTGGATATTACTTATGTCAGTTTTAGTATGGGTTTTAACACTGACCGCCATAACTTCCTGCTAGACAAGTCAACGAAGTATGAGCTAGATAAGTGGACAGTGCAATGTGTTGAAAACTGGCTGAGCAACCAGGCCCAGACTACAGTGATCAGCTGTTAAGCTGCAAAAAAGTCACGAGGTTCAATCCTGCTTAACACCATCATTAATGACCTGGACACGTTTGCCTTGACTGTGAAGACTGGCTGATAAACCAAAGGGTCGTGTCACACTTTGACAAGGCAGAGAGAAACCTCAAGGAGTTCAGCTGGGGAAAATGCAAAGTCTTGAATCTGCACAGGAGCAACCTCATGCAACCATATTTTGAGGCCAGCCACCTAGAAAGCAATGCTGCAGAGAGAGTTCTTGGGGTTCCAGAGGAAAGAAAGATGAACATGAGCCAGAAGCGTGCCCTTATGGAAAAGAAGGCACTTGGGTTACACTGGGAAGAGTTTTTCCAATAGGTCAAGGAAGGATCCTTCCCCTCCACTCAGCCATCTGGGGCTCTGGACCCAGTTCCTGAGTCCTTCAGCTAAGTCCTGTTCATTAACTGAGGCGGTAGAGGGGATGAGGGCAATATAAAATTAATCAAAAGATTACACTGTAGAATGTGTTCCAGCAAAAAAATTTCAGAAAATAAGTGTATATACAGAACCAAGTCCTAGCCTTATCACCATTTACATCAAATTTGACAGGAGAAGGCATAAATAGAAAAGCATTGTAATCTTTCACAGCAAGTGGCACAAAACTAAAAACTCCAACTTGTCTCATTAAATGCTTTTCTTGCTTGCTGCTTCTGTTTGCAGTTTGGGCCACTTTCAGATTTCTCTACATCCAACTCCAGGGACAGAAACCAGATTGTGCCACCCAACAAGATCCAACATTAAGCTGCTTTTCTCAGATTACTGCTCCCAAGATAAATATATATAGCCATACGAGGATGCAATGGCCAATGCCCTTGGCATGGTAGCAGCAGAAGTCTAGTTGCCAAAAAAAAAATCTTAGTCTCCATTATTTAAAGCCTAACTACAGAAATAGTTGTAAAATCTACAAAGAGAATGATCAGTCATAGGATCATCAATAAACTAATGAATAGTTTTCCCAAGACAGATAGAATGCCAGTAAGTCAAGTTCTAATCCGATCTTTATGACAGATTCATCATTCAAATTTTTTAAACCAAATTCTTCTCAGAAAGCCTATGAGTGACTTAGAGCCCTCTGAACAACTAGAAGTATGAATTCTACTTACAGCTTACCAAGAGGCTCATTTTCAGTTGTTCAGAAGTCATACTCAAGTAACAAACTGCTGCACACTGTGGCTAGAAAAGAGGATTTAACTACTTGATCCCAGCATGATTTTAAAAGGCAGTTGTGCCTCTCTGAGGTGAAAAGTTCCACAAGTAACAGCAAGTACTGCAAAAACTTCAGTAAAAGCAATCACAGTGATTTTGTGGACAAAATAATCAACTTCTAAGATCATGAAGACAGAAGATATGAACTGACATCTAAACAGAAGACTTTTCTCTCATTTTAAACACTTCTGCTTTGTTCAGTATCAGTAAAATTACAGGGAAATTAGCACTGCCCTGCTGATAATTTACTTATTCCATAATGCCAATATAACAGAAAACAATTGCCCAATTAATTTACATAATTCTGATAAAAACCAAGGTGATTTGATGATTTATAAGTAAATTTTTAAAACATTTTTGTTGAATTGAAATAGCTTCATAAATCCACAAGAAATTAATCCTGTTTGAAGACTTGTTAGCATGAAAGTCACCTGCTCTGACTAGCACAGGAGAAAAAAATCTGCCTTTGCAAAAACCTGTAATGAGACTTTGGTTGTCCTGATTCTGCTTGAAAACTGCAACACTCTCAGCCAAGTTCAATTAATTTGCTTAAAAGTGAGGCTCTATTAAAGCACATAGTTTAATAATAATTCCCTAGTCTAGCCTGTAGCTAAGTAATACAGCCCTAAGTAAGAGAGAAGTAGCTGTGACACCTGATAAATTATATTACTTGACTGATTTATGACTTATGTCCTCCAGTTCCAACCTAACTAAGAAAATTCAATTATCCAAGCAGTCTAGGTTCATGACTTTAGGAAAAGATTATCTGAAGCCAAAATTCAGGTATCCTGAATCATTTCTAAATGACAGCATGAAACACTGCTTGAAGTGCAGAGGTAACAAGGATAAGCAAATATTGTTTCAGTGCTGTCACTTTCTTAAGATAGGCTACAAGTTATTTGACAATATTATTGAAGCATAAAACTTACATAACTTCAGGTCTAAATACTTATAAAAACTTTATAAACCTTGAAAACATAGTAAAATTGAAATAGTAAAACGTAACGGCAAATATTAATGCAATGCAAAGATGGCATATTTAAATACCCAAAGAGTAGGCTGGGTGTAGATGGAGGATGTCACATTAGCATGATAATTTATTTCTTGTACATAGATTTTCTGTGTTTAAGCATTTAACCCCAAAGTTCTAGTAACTTGTACTTTATCAATCAAACTGGAATTTATCATCAAATTCAGTTCTAACTTCCAGAATTCATTTTGTTCTTACTCAGGATACCACAGTTTAGCTTCAGTATGACAGCATAAGAGATAACATCTTAAAACATACACCTCCTGACTACAGGAGATTCCTGATTATCAGCACATGTTCTATTCTGTAAAAAATTCTGAATGCAATATAGATTTCCTGTGGGTAACACAAGGAAAGATTTAATCAAACTTTTCACAAGAGATCACAGCTACTAGAAGAGTAATTCATGCCTTCACTTCACTATTGTTATGAGGTTTGAGATAGAGGAAGCAGCAACAACTGGGAATCTAGGTGCAGATTTCCAGGTGCCTGGGAAAAAAAAGGCAAACAAAAGACTCTTTAAGTCTGAAGTGAGTGAAATTACAAGTATTGCCTTTGTTAATTGCCTTCAGAACGTATTTTGGAAGCTAACCTGGTCTAACTCTGGGCATGTCAAAGTCAAGTGTCTGCATTGTACACCATGGAAAGAAGGCAGTATCTATCTCCAGGGGGTGAACTGCACCCATCATATCAGATGCTTATCTTCAATGGATCCCTCATCCCTCAGGGTGCTGAAGCTCTCTTTGCAGACTACTACAGAGTCTAGACTTCGGTAAGATAAATTCAACCTAGAAAAATTAGGCACACTCATACCTTGTGAAATATTTATCCCTGGGTTTAAAAAAATATGTTTTCAATAAAGTTATTACTGTTTATATATCACATAATCTTGCAGAGAGCCAGCATATTTAGTGTACATATTTAATATGTTTCATAAGCATGTATTAAATTACTAGGGTAATGTAATTTCTATACTCTGAATGCTGAATTGTACAGACAGTGCATTAAGACGCACAACAACATACACAATCTCAATCAGTTGATTTGAAATAGCTGTCTCTTTCCTATCTGAGCACTATATGACAACCCAGAGGCAGGGAACAAGATTTATTTTTCTTTCCTCTTAATCAAACTTCAAATCAGAAAAGCATGAATACAATCTGCAAATGCTACTGCTTACTTGATTGAGATAGAAATCTTACCACACTCAGGAGGAGTCTAGCGGGTTTCTGGCAACAAGTTCTATCTCTAAGCTCAGACTGCAAAAAAAGTTTGCTTTGCTAGCATTTGACATTGAAACATGATTCTGTTTAACACGGCATGACTATAGTTGCACAGTGGGAGATTATAGGCAATGAGAGAATTTCTAACAAATGGCTCCTATCTGCAAGGAACAGAGAACTGATCTCTGCAGAACACGCTCTGGTAATGAGGTATGCCAAGAATTCTGTAACAGAATTAATCTTTCTGTAAAAGCCAGAAAATTGCTACAATTCAACATGGAGATAATGAAAATAATGTTTCACAGCATCCAGGCTCTGGTCAGGTGGAAGTAAGTTATGATGTTTTCTTGCTATCTAGCCAGAAATGGTGAAGGTGTCTGCCACAATTCATGGTTTCCCATTCTTATGACTTCTCTCTGTTCCAAAAGCTACAGCTACTCTATATGACTCTTATTCATGTATTTACTTCCAGTGAAATCAAGGAGCAGTAGAGTGGTGGTGTGTTGGCCCACATCTAAACCTGGGAGCAGGGAAGTGCTCCTGAATCCTGCAGTTTAGACACCGTCAGCAAGTTTCATCTCATCAGTAAATCAAAATGGTGTCCTCTGACCCCTCCCTCAACAAATGTTCCATTCCATACTATTCTGACATCCATAATCAGAAAATGACTAAGCAAACAGCCTCAACATAAGATGTGCTATTTCCACCAGAAGTGTATTGGTTAATGCAGCCACTTGGAACACCGATCGAGTTTCACCTTTCATTACAGAATAATTAAAGACTCACTGGCCAAAAAGAATCAAAGAATGAGAGCAAATTAATGACAAAGCCATAAGGGCACTCACTAGGAAGCACAGACAGATGTATAATAGTTTCTGCCCTGTCAAGTACTCAATAAAAAGTACTTAAATATTCAGTACTTTTGGGATTAGTCAGCAAAAAAATCCTTCACCCAGATGAACATTTCTATTACTAGGCAACGGGGTTGGGGTCAGGCACATACATTGCTCCAGTGATGAATTATTTCCAAATGAATCGAAGCAGCAGCTTCAGCAAGATGCAACAAAAAAGTACAATGCCAGGAAATTCAGGAGTATTATGTTCAGAAGCAAAAAAAATCTTCAATCTAATCAGGCAAAGAATGCACCTGAACCACCATCCCCGCCCCTATCACTTGCACACTGAAAAAATGCTTTATTAAAAAAATTGTAGGGTTTGTTACTTCTGCCTATATTCTGCAGGAGTCAGCTTATGCATCCAGCTCCAGGAGAGGTCTTATGATCATGACTTCAGAGATGAGAGAGGTGTCTCCATGCCAAGCTTAAATTTCTTGCAGCAATGTGATCTATAACAAACTGGCTCTTCTCTGGCTTGCCCTGCTGACCTCCTCTCTTATGTCATGTGTTGGCTTTTGGATACTCCTTTCTTACTGCCATTTCAGCTGTCAGACCAGATTATACCTAGATTTTCCTGCAGCTTTACTCTTACTTATTGTGATAACTTTCCCAAGTCTGCACTACCTGGTGAGAAAAATATTCTTTCTCATTTAATCTAATGAAATTTTAAAAATGTGTCATCCACGTCTAAGTGCTGGAAGACAGCAAAAAGCAGCAGCACCACCTTGAAGTCTCATTAAGGACAAGAGATAGGTCATACACCAATCTTAGCAGAGGAAAATCTTTGCTAAATGTAAGTCTGAAATTTAGTGTGGATGAAAACAGAAAAAACACTTGTGTCAAGAGTTGCTCCATGCCAAAATCTGCCTTGCTACCCAGACCTAAATGAAATCCCAACATTTGACACTGTAGATTATCTGAAATGGGAATGACATAGAGCACAAAACTGAGTTTTATCTGGAGTACCACAGGTTTTGTTTTATGATTTTGCACAGTTCACTACTATATATTTCTTCAAAAAGTTGCTAACATCCTGCCCCCTCCAAAGAGACACAGATGCCAAGTGAAACAATAAAGGTTTTGTACAGGATGAAGGGGGAGGGAGGTCAGGATGGAAGTTTCTAGCAGATTATCACAGAAGCCAACTCTGCAGCCTCCCCGGCTACCAAAGCCTTGACATGTAAACCTAGTACAGGCAGGAGCTTAAAACTGACTTTTACAATAGCTGGTCTGTCTGAAAAATACTGAGAGTTAGAAAGTCCAAGGACTCAGAAACTGTTCTCTCTCTGTGGTCTTAGATACGTCAAATGCCTTCAGCTACACTTTTTTTTTCCCAGCTAACCTGGGTCTTGTGAAGATACAAAAGACTATGTAAGTGGAAAACGGCCTATAAATATTAAAATTTAATAATAAAAACAATCAATATTTTTAGATTATATGACTAAAATACAATACTTTAAAATATACGCAATAATACTTTAAAAGATATACAATTAAAACTAGGTAACTGATTAAATGTATTCATAAAATTAGAGAGATTGTCAAAATTTCTCCTAGTTTTAATTTTCTATACATATACCAAACTATGTATTACTGACAGGAAAAGAAAAAGATTCTGAAATAAAGTAATTCTAATTTATAGTCTTCTAAATTTGAAAATATTTTGAAGGAGTATGGTTTTCAATCTCAGAAATAAAAAGAATTTTAAATTGCAAGCAAAAGCACAACATAAGCTTTTATAATAGAAATTATCCAGTTCATAAACTCCTTATTTATTTAAACACCAGCATGAATCTTACAGTTGTTACTTTCAAACTACTGAGCAAAAGTTCTTCTTAGAGTAGTCCATATTCTAGCAAAATATTACAGAAATATGTTAATATTGCACAAATTTATCCCTAGTAAAAACTCAGGGGGAGTATAAGGGGCAACAGAATCTTACAAGAATAGGATTATTGTGAAGAGAATTAAAATAACCTGCCAAATCTCATAACTGGTGGTGAAAGACTCTTGCTTAAGTCTGAATGATGATGCTACAACCAGAAGAAACACAGGCTAGGTTCCCTGCTGGGGTCAGTACGCCCTGCACAAAACACCACCAAGCAGAAACGTTTGCCCTGTGCTGAAAACAGCATCCACGTCCCTGGCAGGGGCATGGTGCTCCCGCCTCGCTTTGCTCACCATCCGTGGAGCAGCCGCTGGAGCCGTCGCTGGAGCAGTAGCGCATCTCGATGCGCTGCCGGCCCACCTCCAGCAGGTTGGGGTCGGGCAGCCGCGCCTTGCAGGTGTATCGGAAGCGCTGCTCGTAGTGACCGCCGTTGTCCGAGATGTTCACCGGCGTCCAGGGCGTCCAAGGAGTCGTCTTTTTCAACTCTGGGCAGGGGTTGGTGTTACAAGGCTGATATTCCTGAAAGAAAATGGTCATCATTAACATCATCATCAAATACGACCTTAAAAACACCCCAGAGACACTCAAAACAGACAAAAAGACAACCCTTTTAAAAAAATATATTCTGCTATTTTGTCTGCATTTCCAATAGCATTGATCATCAATGAACTTTTAATACCAGTCTCAAAATGAAAGTGTTTTTTCTTCTTCTATGCGAGCACAGTACCACGCTGCTAAAAGCAATAATATACCAGTACAAATTAGATCTATCACACCTATAAAAACAGTAAATCAAACACTCTAAGTACCATAATCAAGCATATCCTTTATAAATTAATAGCCCCAAGTAAGGTGAAGCTAAATATGTTAAAGCTTTTAATTAAGAAGAATTCTGGTAAACTGCAAGTACATGACACAAACCAGCAAATAATTCCTCAGTAACATCTAGTGGCATATGAATAAGCAAACCACTGTCCATTTTGTATATTGCTTACATACTTCAAAAGGGACAACAGATAAAATATTGTTTTTATTACAGATTCTGGCTCCCTGAGGTGCATGTTACTCATAGCTCCAGAATTGCTAAACCTATCTTCAGAAGCAAATTCCCTGTGGAGTGATATACACTGAAAGGAGCAGATGACATTTAAGAAACCAATGCAGAATTGCCAGTATTCTCACAAATGCAGACTTGTCAGTATTCTCAAGCCCCACAATCTGTGTCTTCTGATGAGTATCATCAAGGTCTGTAGGTCCTGCCTGTTCATTTTCCAGAACAAAATATACTTCATCTGATGCAAACTATTTGAAAAATATATAGATGAAATTAAACAACCATTGAATACAAAAATAAATTCACACTGAAAAATTATTAAAGATGAAAAGGAATAGTCATCAGTGGGAAAGCATTTAAATTTTCTCTCTACCTCTTGCCTGTTACAAAGAGAGAAACTGAGCTCCTTCTGAAAATGAGCCTATTAAAGTTTGTAATTCCAGTAAACAATAAAAAAATAAGGAAACAATAGAAATAATTGTTTTATCATATAGTATAGCCTCTTTCTTCCATAACCTCTACCCCAGTTGATACCACCATGTTCCAAAAAACAATAGATTACCAGCTCGTCTCTTTCTCATGGTGATAATGTCCTTTATATCTCATACTTTCCTCAGTCCACTACCTCTTCTCACAGAGAGTCTAACTTATGAACATACCCAATTAGGTTTAGAGCAATTATTTTCTACCCATATTTTAATTTAAAGCTTGTGTTGGTATTTCAAATCTAAAAGAAGATTATTGTCTGAAAGCCTCTAATTTTTCCATCTGTTAGAGTTGGGAAAAAAAAATCACCAGAAACCTCTGTCCCACTAGCACAGGGATACACGACAGAACCTACCATTATGTTCAGGATTCTCAAGTTCTGAGGCCACAGGGACTTGTGACAACCTTATGCTTCCACAGTTTTGTGTTACTTCAGAAATAAAGAGCTCTTAGTCCAAAGGCTTCAGCTCTTTTTCCCTCCCGAGGGCTGTGCAAAGTCTCTTCCTACCTTAAAACCTGTTGATCACTTCTATGGCAACCACAAGTCATACCCAGGAATCATTTAGGAAAGATGATCAACCTTTCAGGGACCCGAGTTTCAGCCTGGTCTGGTTTCTGGCTCAGAAGACAGCAAAGAACAAGTAAACTATCTAGTCCTAGGTGCAATAGGGGAAGTAACTTCTCCATGTCTCCCTAGAGTCAATTCTTTAAATCAAGTATGTTTTAGACCTAGGACAGAACATGTATGATTGTTCTCCTTGCAGCACATGAACTGTAAATAGAAACAATCATTAAATCTGCCTTTCCCTCTACTTTTTGTTGTCGTTGTTGTTTGGAGTTTTTTTGTTTTGTTTTTTTAAAGATGTCTAGCACTGATGAGTCTATCACCTCCCCGGATCAGCTGTTCTGCTATTTAGTAATCTGCAAAGCTAACAGATTGCAAGTTAATATGAAGCTGCATTTTCCCCTTAATCTTCCAGTCCCCGAATTTTGCTGTGCCTTTATCAATGATGCTGAGAGTATTGCTTGTCCCCGTACCCATACATAATGATAAACCTGACGCCCAAGTACTCATACATAATGATAAACTAAGCTCAACTTATTAAACCTACACAGGATTTAAAACCTGATCTCTAGGTCGTGTGCACCCCAATGTCTTCCATTTGTCCTATTTCCTCATTTTCCTTAAGACTGGCCACCAAAATTGGACTTGGCATTCAAGAAGCAGTCTTATCAATACAGCACACAAAGGCAATCATCACTCCATTTGCCTGACAGACTGACTTTAATATGCACATTATTGCATTAGTGCTTTTTCCTTCCACAACATTGTACAAAGAGTCTAAGTAGACCCAATTATCTTTGATAACCTGTCCTTTTCTAAATCACAGCTTAACAACTACCTAATTTTTTTATCACACACAAGAGGCTGATAGTATTTAGCAATATTAAAATATTTTTTATTAGCTTCTGCATATACTAACATATGCTAACATATTATTTACTACCTCATCAATCTCTGTCCTGCTCAAGCTTTACTGAAAATGTCTTATATCACTGTCTAGACTGTTGATAAAAATGTTAAGTACTATTGACCCAAGAACTGATTTCAGGCAGACTCTACTAGACACATCCCAGTAATTTATATCTGCCCATTGACAACACATTTTTCAATTTGTCAATGAACCAGCTTTTAATCCATTTAACATTTGTCACATATTTCAGTTTTCTGAATCAAATTATTTTCTGTTGCAAAGGTAAATGCCTTGGAAGAGGAGATGTGCTGTATTACTTTCAAACCCAAACTTTTTTATTAGTAAGTAAGCAGGGAAAAAAAAATCAACCAGTATAGTAGCTACTACAATGTTTATTTCAATCTAGCCACAATAGTCTAAAAGTTTCAGTTCTTCATTTGCTATTGATTTTTGTATTGATATGTTTCAGTCAAAACCAAAAGCTGCTAGAAATATGAGGGCTTTCTTTATTAGATATGGCATAGAAAGGTGAGGTTCATGTAAAGCGGAATATGTAAGGTATGTAATGAACCCTTTGTCCAATAAATATAGCTAGTATAGGAAGAAGTTAATTTAGTGGCAGTGTATTGAATGTTGCTTTGCTAACACACTTCTGAGATGAACACGTCAGCTCCCTCACTTCTGGAAAGACAGACTGCCAGTGTTCAGTATGCTTCAGGATGTGTAGTCCCTCCATACACCCTGATAGACAGCATTCTACTATACTGTTACCAGCACAGAAAGAAAGATGTTCCTGAAGAGTGTCTGTGAAGACCATTTGTTAGTTTTTCTCCCTTTTTCTTGCTTGCTGCATAGCTTATATGAAAGTTTGACTGCTGTCATGCTTGTCTATTCAACCACTGGATAATAACCATGAAAGGCTCAAAAAGTTGGGGAAACAAAAGTACATATAGTTTAACTGGAGAATATTTACAGCAGTAAATAATTTCTCCAAGAGAAAATTCAGAGGACTATTGCCAGAATGGATGACTCCTTGGAGTTCTGGTGCTAATAATGACCTGGCAGAGCTCACTGGCTGCTCTGACAAACAGCAAGTGCTGCACTGCTCTACTGATTACCATGCCTGCCACGGAGGAATCAAAAACTGCACGGTGCTTGTTGAGAGCATCGTTGTGATCTGATGCTGAAAACCTGTAAAAGCAGAACAATGAACTTGCTCTGAATTGCCTCAGATGTGGAAGTAAGGAAAGGGGGAGAGAAAAGGCATAGTTCAGACTAACATGGATATATTAAGTGCTGCTAGCATGAAGACATAGTCCAACAGGAAAGACTCGAGAGGGAAGAAAGAGGGAATATGGAAACTGATACTTCTGCTTGGTTTATCCTCCTCTTACCACCTTGTCCAATGCTTGAATGATTTACCTAAGAGGTATTTCAGGAATATGACCCTCTCCAAGGCAATTCTACCAGCTAGAATCATGGGCACATTAATAAAGTAACCACATGTAAGTATCAGATGAATTAAAGTCTCAGATGAAACACGGAGGTCTCGTATCAGTGGCCCGAGCTAGAAAAGCAGTGAAGCACTCTGTTTCAGTAGCACTCCTGAGAGGAATTGAGACAGAAGCTGCTAAACTCCACCTTTGACATTCCACATGGACTGAAGGGGAGATGGGGTCAAGCTCTTCTGGGAGATTCTCTAGATACTCAGAGAAATACTTCAGGGGCTCAAGTGATGGGTGGTGCACATTAGTCTTTAGGGTACACCTGTGGACTCAGAACAATAATTACTTGAGGCCATTTACAGACTCCAAAAATATAATTGCAATAGTTCAAGCTTAATTTCTTAAAGTTCTCAAAGTTCTCTTTGCAAGCTGTCCTAAAACTTGTGGTCTAATTCACCATATTGCGGCTTTTAGTTTAGACTGGATACAGCCAGTGGAGATAGCTGAATTTATGCCTAATTTAGGCCTGGCTATACCTGGTAAAGATGCAGTAAGACTTGTAAAGACTACATTTCTGGGGGCAACTCAACATTGCAGTTTTTTGGAGATCATTGAGAATTTTACACAAAACACATAAATAAATACATACCTCACAAAACATGTCTGTGAAAATGATTAATTTAAATAAAATATTATAATGAAGAATGATATTATTATTCTCATATTACTGGTGGCAATATGAGAAAAGGTATCATAAATTAAAATGATAATTTGGAATCATAATAATGCATTTGGAACCATAGATAATGATTATGCTATTATGCAGCTACCTTGCTTCTGTCCTTAAAAAGCATTCCCCAGTATTTTTGCATAATAGAAAAAGAATATTAATGTAATGCTTTCTACCAATATATTTTTAGCATTATTTGGTTTTATTTTTTTAGAAAAGGACAACTAAAATGTAATTTCGGCTAGAGGGGACTATTGTTAAATAACACTGAACAAAACAACAAAATTCACTCTTTTCTCCTGGAGGATGTGGAGCTAATTTTTTTTTGC